CCAGCTCCCTCCATATTCTAAACCTCTCATTGGCTACAAACAGAGAAAATATTTCTGGAAAACTAAATATACTTAACCGTGTGTGTGTTAAAGCATATTTTTAACAGTAGAAATCTTGTCTGATTTAACATAAGTCAGTCAGTCATGGATCCGCGTTGGGCCGTGGACGGTGCACTGTGAATGGATCCCCGGGAATTTCTAAGGCACATCAGTGCGGCTGATGCCCATCCCTCTCCGTCCTCAGACCCACAGCCACACTCCTCATTGTCTGGGGACAGCGGGAGCCAACCTACACTGAGCTACACTGAGCTTCATCCAGTGTGAAGACTCCTTCACTTCTGACTGGACTTGCTTTTTGCCTCCCTGGCCCTGAGCCCTTGATTTATGTGGCCAACGCCCCGTATGTTGCCTTGGATTATAGTTATTTGTACAGTTGTCTTATATTTTCCTCTAGATGAGCAACTACTTCAGCGTAGGAGTTTTATGTGAACCTTGTATTTTGGGGAGTCCCCAGCATGCACCTTCTGCATAGTAGGCGTTCAGTTTAAAACATGGTAAATTTAATCAAGTTTTTCATCTTAAAGGTCAACTTAAGTGACCGGATAAAACTACTTGCTTTGCTTCTTAATTCTGTCTGTTACCGTCACATTGAGGAACTCATCCGATAACATGCTTTCTACTTAAGAATATTCAGTGTTAAAGAAAAATTTGGACAAATAAAGCTATTCATAATCTCTCAGTTTGTTTTGTATATTTTCCTTCAAATCTTATACTTGTACGTGCTTGCCTATAGGTGTTTGTTGGTGTGTGAAGTATTATGTGCAATTCATTGTGAATTAGGCTCCTTTTAATTAATATCAAACATGGTTTTCCATATTTCTCCAGTGTCTTTATAACTGTTATTTAGCAAATGCACAATACTATACATCGCAGATACACCGTAATTTACAGACCGGTTTTCACTTGCACGACATTGGGTTCTTTTACTTTGCTCTCTCGGTCCTGTTGTAATAAAGCTTTCCTGGCTCTTTTCCTTGTCTTAAATTAGCTCCTTGAGTTTGCAAGCATGGCCTTGTCAGGTGTAAGGGCCGAGCGTGTTTACAGCGCTGCTGCTTAGAAGGAGGTGGCCGGCCCGCGCCTCGTCAGCAGGCTGGGTGTGTAGTGACCTGTGACAACGCAGATTTATTTAAGGTCTTCCCCCTCACTCCCCACTCTTAGGAAGAGCACAGTAAATTAACCCTTTAAATATTGGGCCTCGGTAATTTACCAAATGAATTCTCAGCCCAGGGGAAATCAAATAAAGGCCTTACATTCTTACTTTGAGCTTCAGAGATTGATGTGGTTAAAAAGACTGGGTCCAGCCTTCCCCGTTTTCCAAATGCATGTGCAGGGGACCTGCCCTTAGAAGTCAGAGAACCGACACGTTTAGGAAGCGGAGGGCATTTTGTAGTGTAAGAGAGAATTTGGAAATACAGTTGCCTTTCTGGAGTTTAATTATCAGGATAAAACCAACACACAGTGCAGGAGATCGCCTAGGGGCCAATGGAAAGGTAGCCGCCGTCGGCCCGATCGAAAGCTTAGGGAGCGGCTGGAAGATGCCGCCCGGGCTTCATAAAGAACTGCGGGCAGCTGTGATCAGACAATCACACCGCGGAAACGGGAGAGTGCACACGCAGTGTCTGCTTTGCAAACGAGGAGTCTGCTTACAGCATTTTCCGAATAAAACAGCAAACAAACCGAAACACCCTGCCAGCCTTGATGGTCTCGTTTTCAGGATGGTTACCAGTTAATCAGACTATCGGAGCGCGGTGGGCGGCAACTGAGCCCATGCGACCTGGCTGAGTGACGCCCGGAATTGCCGCTTGTTTTCTCAGCGATCCGGCAGTGCTGTGGAGAGCGCAGAGCACGTGGCGGGGGCCCTGAGGGGGTGACGTGCGGCATCCGGCCGCCCCCCTGGAAAGCTGACCGCTCTTTGTGGATGTGGCTTCCCCTCTCTCGTTCGCTTACGGGGTAGAAACCTCAGTCTCCTTATTTCCCTTCAACAGGGCGGCCTTTCTCTGCTTGTTGTGATGACACATGGCCAAGTCTAGGGTCACCTGTGTTCCCGGGTGCACCTATTAGGAATTCGTGACGGCTTTGTTCCCAGGGAGACCCTCTCTCCTCAGTGTGGTTTGTGGACGGCTGACTGGCTCGAGCTGGGGACTCAGGCTTGCAGAAATCCAAGCCCCCCTAAATCCTAGACCACGGGGTTCCCGCAAGGCCCCCAAGAAGCGCGCGCCCAGGCGGGGTCTGCTGTGTAAGGGACCTGTTGGTGGCAGTGTAGGCCTGGCCCTGCGGAGGAGAGGCCAGCAGGGAGGGCTGAGGAGGACCTGACCTCCGCGCCGCTTTCCCGCAAGGCCACGGGGAGTCCTGCAGCCAGTGCCACGGCACCGAAGCTCCACGAGTCGGGAAAGAGCCGGCCCACGCTGCTGCCTCCAGCCTGGGCTCAGAGCAGCCGCCCGAGCTGGGCTTCGGCACAGGAGGGCTTGCAGGGCCGGCCCTGACGCGGCCCCGGCCAGGCTCAGAGCAGGGGACTGACCGGCAGGCCCCGGGCCACCACCCTGCTGAGGATCCACGTTTCAGCCAAACCTCCCGGTGGTCTGTGCACAGTAAACTTTGAGAAGCACTAGCCTGACGTAATAAGTGGACACTTTGGGGATCCTACCGAGAGTCAGTGAGATTGTGCACGATCGTCCCGGCATCCCTCACAGGGAGCTCTCCGGGGAGGGTGTTTCCACAGTTCATTTGAACGGAGCTGCTGTGCCGAGTGAGAACTGGAGCAGATAATTGGTTGTTGTTAACATGTAACGAATGTGCAGAGCCCGTCCGAGGCCAAGCACAATTTCCAAGATGCTTCTCCTCTTTGCTGTGAGGAGCTGGATATGATTTACCTCCTTTTGCCTCCCAGAGTTTCAGGGCCCTGTAGCCAAGACTTGTGTGTTTCTGCATCTGCTGTCTCTTTCCACGTGGTCGGATGGGGATGGGATTCTTGTGTGCGGCTGGCCGTAAACAATCGGTTGCACAAATCTTACCGGTATGATCAATGCTGATACCAATTTGAGCACGGTGATGAATAGTAGTTAAGGAGTCAGAGAGAAACTATAAAATCTTGGGGTCTAAAAATGTCCTATTAAAATTTTCATTTTCTGGGATACACAGTAACTCAGGTTCCCAGATACAGACGATAACCTAGCACCTCCCAGACCACAAGCTTCTCATACACTGACTCTGCGTGTTCACAGTTGTTCCTATTCTGGTTCTAGTGTGTGTGAACGCCTAGGTCCGTTCTCGTAGGAATAATTTGAAAACAGACACTGAGCACTGAACATATCAAAGGGAAAGAAAGGAAGCCCAGGAGAGACGAGAGTTTATAGTACAGCCCAGGAAAGAATAAAGCCAGAGGTAGAGACAGGCCGTGCCCAGTGGGTGTTGGCAGGTGTGAGCCCTGACATTTGAGGGCTGCTGGTGGCGGTGGGGTCAGGGAGGCCGCAGGATGCTGGCAGGACACATGTGCATTCAAACAGCGCTGACCGGACGTGTTAGAGGGGCACGGTGGGGACGTGCGCTTGGCGCTGGCGCAGAATAACGCCGTGGTTGAAAATAGGCTCAACTTACTGTGTTTGGGCCACTTCCTAGCACTGTGAGTTCAGGAAATTACTTAGCTTTTCTAATTCTCAATCCTCTGCTCTGGAAGGTGGGGGTTAACCTAGTACTAACCCACTAGGCTTGTTAGGGTCAATTGAGAAAGTCCCCTAAAGCATGTTGCTGGCCACCGACTAATCGCAAACACCCAGCAGTGTTAGTTCTGTGTCCCTGGCGGCTGTTAGTAAGTACGCTGTTTGTTTCCTGCAGTCAAGCAAAATTAATTTGCAGATGCCTCAGCCAAATGTGAGGAGAAGGCGAGGTGATACAGGGCTGTCTTTCCCCTGCAGGCCATGCTCACTGGTGTCGCCTTTGGTAGAGCACACCCCCGTTGTTGCCTGTTCCCGGGAGTGTGAGATAGTATTAGGGACTTTCAGACCTATATTACTTCTCTCTTTCCCCCGTCCTGTATTTTACAGAAGTTAACCTACAGCTGAGGAACTGTAGGGCTCCAGGACTCCCTGACCTCGCCTCATTTCATAGGTAATTGGTAAACACACCAATTTTGTTGATAGTGCTTCTAAAGTGAGATATAGTCTCCCTATTTTCATATATACCCTGTGTTTACGGAACTGAGATAAACAGTGTGATTTGGCCAACTTGAACCTCGCAGATGATCGTGGGCGATGTGGTAGAGGGTGCCTCCTGTGGCCACCCCCTCTCAGCGCAGCTGGGTGACCCCTGTCCCCATAACCTGCGTTGTCTCTGTCTCTCTATCTGTCCCTGCAAACAGTGTGAGCACGTGAGCCTTGAGCAGGAAAGGCCAGCCCTCGGTCCGCCCAGCTGGCGTTTGTGGAGCGAGCGAGCGAACACTGCCTCTCTCACATCACTCTCCCAACCCCTGGGCCACAACCAGCAGGGCACCAGTAGCCCGTTCAATGAATTACTGGTTACAAGGAAGGCCTTCTAGAAACACGGCACAATGAGATAAAATAAATAAAATTTAACAATGGATTGAATAGTAACCTAATTCCCAAGCCTTCGATCTGGAGAATGGCTGTCTCCCTTTCTGAAGAAGGCTCCTGCCCCGCCTCATGCCCAGTGCCTGACCCTACTGCCTGGTGACTGACTACGCAGTCGCCTGCAGAGGTGACAGGCCTGCCCCAGGAGACAGCAGAGGTGACAGATCTACCCCAGGAGACTGACTGCAGGGGTGACAGGTCTCCCACAGTGTGATGACTCAGCCATGGATCAGAGCTGGGCCTTAGAGCCTTAGCCCAGCATGTCTCAGCCCCCCCCCCCTCCAGGTGCCCCTGGAATTGTTGCCATGGGCCAGCGTCCAAGAGGTTTAACAGCTGCCCCGACAAATGGGGCTCCCCCATTCAAGCCGGCAAATGGGGAGTCTGAGCTGTTTTGCAGCACTCCTTGCATCGGGGTCGCAGACGCTCTTTGAAACCGTGAGACAGCATCCTGCTTCCTGGGGACGTAAATATCTTCAGGATCCTCTGAATGCAGGAGGTGAGAAATCCCCCTTCACAGTGAGCTCGGCCCAGCTCTTCTCTCCCTCTCGTCCCCCAGGCAGGAGGGACTGCATCCTGGAGCCGCTGTCCCTGCCCGAGGGCCCGGGTGGCCGCGGCAGCCCCGAGGGCTCGCCATCCGTGCCTTGTGTCCTCTGTGAGGAGCATTTCCCTGCAGCCCAGCAGGACCAGCTTCTGAAGCACATGGTCATCGAGCACAAGATCGTCATCGCCGATGTCAAGCTGGTGGCCGACTTCCAGAAGTAAGTGCTGTTTCTGTTCAAGGGGTGAAGAGTGTTACTCCTTGGAGGAAAGGCACAGCTTGATGTGAAATTACCCCTGTGCAGCCATGAGCATTCCCACTCTTCCTTAGGGTCCCCCTGAGCCTGTAAACAAGCCTTTGCTCTCTTGTCTTCTGGAGTGTGGAGCTGCCATTGAGAAGGTCACCCACCTACGGCCGCCTGCCCTCAGACCTGGAAACAGCAGCTGCCCGAGGCACGGATGCTGTTCCCTTTGCCCTGTTGCCCGAGGCTGTTGACTGTGGATCTCTACCAGGCTGGGATTATTTTGTGTTGTGTGTCTGGGGCCATAGACATGCTCTGGTTGAGTCAGTCCTTCCAGAAAGTCCAGAGGGGACTTGGCTAAAGGCCACCGAAGGGCAGTGTTTGGAACAGGGACCCTTGGCACCTTTCGAGCCCAAAGGGTGTCATACAAGAAACTCTCAGCTGAAGTGTTGCAAGGAGGTTGAAAACCAGAAAAAAAACAAGCTGTTCAACAGGCCAGGAGGGTGCAAAGGTAGACAGCTGCTGAGGGTGACGGCTGGGACTGAGAGGAGGAATGGGAGCAGGTAGAGGTGAGGGGGCAAGGAACTGCCACCGCTCTGCCACCTAGCCGAGATGCCCCCAGACAGGGCGCCTGCCTAGCCGAGATGCCCCCAGACAGGGCACCTGCCTAGCCGAGATGCCCCCAGACAGGGCGCCTGCCTCGCCGAGATGTCCCCAGACAGGGCATCTGAAAAGCATCATTTCCAAACATCATGGCTCCTTGTTCATGGAGTAATAAAGTAACTTAGCCCATGTGAAGACTGCCAGACAACAGGCTTACATCTTTTATTAAACACCCAGGATGTTGGACACTGCTTCTCATGTATCTGTTTAGTTATCAATAATTTATTTTGTAAATGAGTAAATTGAGTTTCAGAAAGATTTAAACTTTAAATCCAGGTTTACACCTCTGAACGCAAAGTCCCTCCTTCTCTGTTCACTGTGGCCTGAGGGGCTGGGGGAGTTGGTTATTAAAACGTCAGCTTTGAGGGGTGGATCACAGTCTTCATTTAAAAAGCAGGACTCACCTGGCTGGCCTGGCTCAGCAGTTGAGCGTCGACCTAGGATCCAGGAGATCTCAGTTTGATTCCCGGTCAGGGCACAGGCCCAGGTTGCGGGTCCAGTCCCCAGCAGGGGCCTGCAGGAGGCAGCCGATCAATGACTCTCTCATCACTGATGTGTCTCTCTCTCCCTCTCGCTTCCTCTCTCTGAAATCATTAAAGACATATTTTAAAAATAAATAAATAAAAATAATAAATAAAAAGCAGGACTTTTCCAGCACAAGATCTGTGCAGACGAGAGACTCGTACTGTGTTCACTCCTCACTACGAAATAACTCAGTGACAATGCAAAGGACAGTCTAGCCACTAGATCAGCTCTACCTGGTCATGGCTCATGTAGTTTCATACAGAAACTTTGCTAAGTCCGTGAACATTCCTCAAAGGTTAGCAGCCTGTATGTTGGAGGAATTCTCACTGCCTTCCAGCAAACCGCAGACCCACGTGGCACTGCTGTTATTAAGGGCTGACCACCATCCTCGGTCTGTCCAGAGGCTGTCTGTCACCCACGGGGTCCTCAGTGGAGCGGTGACCAGCAGCGGCTCTCCTGCTTTTTACGTTATCTCAGCACCTGGTTCTGCTGAGAAATCTGGTTAGTTGTGAAACAGCTGTCTGTGTATTTCCATTGGGAAGGACAATCGTCTTCTGTCCCTGACATCTCCACGGGACGAGCTCCTGTGTCCTCACCCTGCTTCCAGTGCAACAGAAAACATGCTGAGGGGACTAAGGAGAGCGGCCCGGGCGCTGGCCCGGAGCCTTCAGCCTGCTCCTGCCTGGGGGTGGGCCCCAGCCGGGGACGGGAGGCGAGGAAGAGAGGGACGCGGAGGAGTGGGGGTGCTGAGCTGGCGGTGGCTAAGGAAGGCCGGTCTCAGCCTTTCCTGGGCACCTGTCCTGTTTTGGCTCCTTGGATGGGTCAGACACGCTCCGCCTTCTGCTCCTGATACTTCTGAGCGGGAGCCGTGAGCCAGCCCTAGTCGGCGCGTCGTTTATAATATCCACGGTTTGAGGCTGAGCCTGAGCGTAAGCAATGTCATTTTCAGGTCTCAGTTTCCATCAGAGGCTGCGTTTGCCCGGTGGAGCTGCAACCCCGAGGGGAGCTGTCTCCCCAGATTGGGGTGAGGCTGTCCCACCGCAGCCCGAAGCCCAGCCCCTCATGGGCCTCTCCGCAGCAGCGCTGTGTTCCCCCTGGGCTGGGTCGCCGTGGCGCTGACCCTCAGCCGAGCCACCCCTCAGCCAACAAACGGAATTGTTTTGGAACTTTTTTCTCTTGCTTGTAGACATTGGATTGAGGCTGACTTTTCACTGCACTATTATCATGACCTCTGTTATTTCTGTGTGTAAGATGAGCACCCACCCTTCAGTTTATTGGGGAGTGTGTACATTTTAAAGCCGTATAAATTGAGATGTGATTTCAGAGAAACTTCATCATCACATAAAAGAATTCATCTTAACTTTCCCATGTGGATTTGGGGCTAGTCGAGTTTAATCATTTCCACGCCTTTCAGGGTAATTTCACTTTATTAAATATCCATGTCACATTTCCACAGCGCTCTGCGGCCTGCCTCTTTCTGAACTGTAGCAGTGACCCGTCAGCGGGCGACCCGTTGCTTTGGGGTAGTTGAATGTTGTGATGAACTTGCGTCACTCTGCGGGAAGCGNCTGTAGCAGTGACCCGTCAGCGGGCGACCCGTTGCTTTGGGGTAGTTAAATGTTGTGATGAACTTGCGTCACTCTGCGGAAGCACAGCCCTGAGCCTTCTCGCCGTCTTTCCCGCAAGGTACGTCCTGTACTGGAGGAAGAGGTTCGCGGAGCAGCCGGTCACGGACTTCTGCAGTGTCATACGGATCAACTCCACCGCGCCTCCGGGTGAGCACACGCCGGCCTGCCGTGTTCCCTGCACCCCAAATTCAAACGAATAATCTCTTAAATTAGGGTCCTCCCACTTGCCCGAGAGCTAAGACTAAGTGGCTGTCGAGGCTGTCCGGCCGCAGAGGAGCGAAGAGAGGCCTGCTACCAGGAGAGAGAGCTTAGGAGACACGTGGCTGTGTTCTAAGGAATAAGCCCTGGAAAATGAAACGTATGGTTTCTCATTTATCTCTCTAATCTCCCAACAGAAGAACAGGACAATTACTTTCTGCTGTGCGACGTTTTGCCCGAAGACCGAGTGCTCAGGGAGGAGCTCCAGAAGCAGAAACTGGTAAGGGCGGCCCTGAGGGCTGTGCTGGGAACACCGCCCGAGCCCCGTGTTCCTGCCGTTCTTTCCTCGTTGCTGTTTTTGTTTTATTCTGGTAGCTTTCAAACATACACAAAAGAGGAGACAGTAAATACATCAGGATCTTAAAACAGTACCCACTGGATAGACGATAAAAGCTGGCCACAGTAAAAGCCCAGAGGGAATTTTTGGCTCTGTTTTGCTTCCTGGGTTACCTCTAAAATAACAACACAGCTCACACATTTAGTGTCATTTTAGCCGCCACACATGCCGGGGGCAGCCGTCGTGGAGAAGGGCCGTCGGCTGAAACTGAGTTGAGTGGATGAGCGTTTTTCCCGTCGCTGGAATGCGCCTGCACCAGCCCTGCCGGTGCCCCGGTGCCCCCGGGAGCTCAGCATGTGCCCTGTGAACACAGGAGCCTTTCCCATCTCCAGCAGGCTATTTAAAATCTCGGCATCTGTCCTCTTTAAAAAAGGTGGCGGCATATACTAGTGTTAAATGTTCACTTTCCTAATTTGAACAAATTCATTTTTATGTTGCTAATTTTGTTTAAAAGCTGGCGTCTCGTTACTCTCTGTGGTTAGTCTCAGTGATTACTGGAGGTTGACCTGCTATCCCTTCAGGGCTCCTCACCAGTGTTCCTGGGACCTTGGGGCTGGGCCGCATATGTCATGAGGGCTGTGGTTTCACCGTTCCTGCTAAATCCTCAAGGGATCCCGAGGAAAACCCACCGACCACAATCGTGTGACCTGAGAAAGCCCCTGATGCAGTTGTATCTCGTAAACACCCCGAGTGGTTCTTTCCCCCTGAGGAGGGTGATATTGTTGGACGCTGATTTATGTGTAAAAAGCATGCTCCCCGTGGCAGCAAACCCAACGCAGTAACAGGGCTCCCTGAGTTGCTCTTCCTTTCCTATTGTAATGTCTTAAAATCTGCAAAACGGACGAATTTACTATCATCTTTTATGGGTTCTGTTTGCTCGTACAGGGTCATAATTTTTAATTTCCAGGAGTTTTTTCACCCTTGCTCACAGTGTCTTCATCGAGAATGACCAGGATGCCATAATCCTGGCACCCACGGGCTGTCTCTGTAAGAACCCAAACCCTCTGCTCCTGCCACTGTGTCCTCAGTGCCAGAGCCTTTACTGAGTGTCTGCAGATAGACTCACGTCCCTGGAAGCAGCTGCATCCATGAAACGTGGATGACCGTTTCAGATTCAGACTCCAGCTCCCACCTGTGGGTTTCCCCACATCAGGCGGTTCCCCAACACCAGCTGGTGTCCTGCAGTTCAGCTCAGTCCTGACACTATCTTCCCAAAGATCCCACAGGTGCAGGGCTCAGTCCCACAAGGCGGCCCCACTTCAGACGCCAGCACAGGTCCAGGTTGTCACCTCTGCTTCTGACCAACTGGCTGTAAACCAGGGGTTCCCACGACCCCCTCCTTGGGTTCCATTAATTTGCTAGAGCCGCTCACAGACCTCAGGAAACCCATTTACTCGCTGGGTCACTGGCGTGTCACAAAGCATTACAGACTGTGAGTGAGCGCCAGATGAGGAGACCGGGTGCGTCTCCGTCCCTGCGGAGTTCGGCCCGAAGAACAGCATGGGGGTGCGTTCTGGTCCATCAGCCGGAAGCCCTCCAGACCCTGCCTTTGGGCCTTTACAGAGGCGGAGGCGTGAGGGGCTAAATCACTGGCCATCGCTGATTGAACTCGGTCTCCAGCCCCTCTCCCTGCAGGAGGTGGGGTCGGGTCTGGGACTGGAAGTTCCAACCCTCTAATTACGGTCGACCCCCCCGGCAGCCAGTCCCTTACCTGGGTGCTTCCCAAAGTCCTTCAGTAGCAGCGAGAGACACCTGTGCAGCTCTCGACTCAGGAAACTCCAAGGGTCTTAGGAACTGTGCGCCAGGAGCAGAGACAAAGACAAATAGGTACCTCTCATTACAAATCCCAGCATCGCGTCTTCTTGCCAGGTTGATAGATTTAATGAAAGTGAGCATCGTGGCAGCTTAAAAGAAGCAAAATGTGACAAAACTGAGTCAGTTCGTACACAGTCCCTGAATTCCTGCGTAACTAGGTGATCTACGGAGCAGCTCAGTCAGAAGCCGAAAGGCCAGTGTTAATGTTCCCATCTCGGTGATGGAGAAGGTGGTAGAATAGCTTGTGGCGCTGTGAAGACGGAGCCGTGCGTGCATCACACTTAGCACAGCATCTGCCACGTAGGCAGCGCTCAGTAGTGTTGCTGATCACACAGATAACACTAACGCTGTATCTTAACAAAGGATTGGGGAGGGGGAGATTTGTAGAAGGGGGGAAGATGCATATGGCTCTGCATCGACCAGGGAGATCCTGAGATGTCTTGAATCAAATTACAGTGGCAGAGAGTGAGAGAAAGAGGCAGGAATGGTTAACCAGTTGGTAGCTGTGAGCCAACTAACAAGACCGCTGCCAACCTTGATGCACGTTGGCGCCCGGACTCCACCTCCAGGCGGCTGTCGGTCACCCCTCGGGGCCCCCAGAGGCACCCTGCAGAGCGGGAGCTCAGGACTGTCGCCCGCGACCAGGCGAAAGTAGTAGATATTCCCCCGAACAGACTGCGCACCTGTCCTGGACAGTGCCCCACGCAGCCCGTGAACCTAATGTCAGAACCTCGCAGGCGGTTTTGATATCGGTCACTGAAGACATGGCCTTGTGTTACCTCCTTATCTCAGGGCGAGCCGTTCCTTTGTCATTCTGAGCATCGGTTTCTGCTCTCCCGTGTACAAGTACTTACCTAATTGACGTTCTCTAAATTGCTTTTGTCTAAATTGGCTGATTTTTATCATTTCCCGCCGGACTCATTCTTATCCAATCCTCCCGCGTCTGTCCCGGGGCCGTGGGACGCCACCTGCTGTGCCCGCTGTCCATTCACATTGGCTGCCTCCAGCTGCTGAGTCAGGATGGAGACGGCGCGCTGACCCTCCGCCGCTGAGCTTGACATTTTAAACCCATTAGGCCAGGGTGCGGCCTGTGGTCACGGCCTTCCGCCTGAGAGCAAGCGGCCTCGCGTCGGCTGCTGGGGAAGTTCAGACACGTGGCGCCTGTGCCCCTGCCCTCGCCTCGCCCCCTCCCGGCCCTGAGGAACGTCCCGCACACCCAGCCGGCAGGAGGCTCTGTAGAACCAGGGGCTGGCGGCTGTGGTTTGCGGGTCTCTGCGCAGCTTCCTGTGGGCTCTCAGCATTACACTGTCCTGTTGGGAAGGGGCTCTCAGACCCACCCAGACACCCCGCTTCACAGAGGGAGAAGGGGGGGGCACGGCTCCGGGCGGGTCTTCTACAAACCGAGTGTGTGAAATTCGGTTTTCCTTTCCCGATACCTCTTCTTCTTGACTTTCACTGCCAATTTCCATTTTCACGTGAAGGTCTCTTAAAGAGCAATCATTAAAATTGTCTGATACGTTGACCTCACCCCTTGTATTTCTTCTGCTTTCGCCTGTCCGCTTGCTGCCAGCCTGGAGCCCTCTTCTCCCTGGGCCGGAACGTCTGCTTTTCCATTTGCCGTGTGTCAGGTGCCCGGCGAGGTCTCCGCCCGCATGTGGGAGCCCAGCGTCGTCAGAGCTGCAGCTGCTGGGACCTCCCCGAGTCCCGCCCCGCACACGCACACGCACACGCACACGCACGGCTCAGGGTCTGCGCAGATGAAGGAGCCCAGTGGTTCCCGGAGCCCCTCGGCAGCTCCCCCTTTCTGGTGCCTTGTCCCCCGGATTCCACTCCCTGGAATGTCCTGAGCTCCGGCCTTTTTTCCTCCGCCCAGCAAGGTAGCTGTAGTTGGTTTGGGTTTCGTTTCTCTATGTTGCAATTTGGAAAATACCAGCCAGCAGAGCGCCGGCGATGTGTTATTTTGTTTCTCGTAAGGCCCCCGGCCCCGATGTCGGAAAACATCACAAACTCCGGGGGTGACGCCCCCCCCCCAGCCGTGGAAGCGGGGGAGGGGGGCGCGTTGATCTGTATTAGGGCAGCTTCTTCGTGTTTCTTTCTTCCGTGGATTACTATTTCTGTATGTTTGTTGATACATTTCCACAAAGGCCACATGGACTGCATTAGCTTCTAGACCCCGGCCCCTTTTTATGCTGTGCCCTAAATACTTAGGGAATCAGCAGTAAACTTCACGAAGCTCCTATTCTGAGCCCCGTGCTCAGAGAAGCTGGGGAGTCGCATGCCAATGTAATACAAGAACCACATAAAGACTTTTTTATAGCTTCAAAGGCTTTCGTATCCCTGCAGAAGAGAAAACAGGCGACAATGGGTAGTGATCAGAGGAGACCGACGCTGCCTGGGTGACAGTAACATCCCGCGTTTAATAGCCCGCGTGCAATTCAAACCCTCCCCGTAATCGCCTGACTTCATCCCGTGAACAGCGCTATGAGACAGTATTTTCATTTTCATCTTAAAAGTGAGCAGCCTGCGGATCGAAGGGGCTAAGTGAAGCCCGGGTGGCAGCCAGGTCTCACTCCTGTGTCTGCTGCGCGTTTCAGACGCCGAGCTCTCACCTGAGCGGGCGTCCAGGCCTGGCAGCGTGAGCACAGGGGCACCCAGCGGGGCTCTTAGGGTAGGTGAGATTCCTGAGAGAGAGGAATGCAGCAACTGCAAGGAGAGACAGTGTAGAGACACCCCAATAGGACAGGTGTTACCAAAGCGCGCTTAAAGTGAATTGCGTCAGCAAATAACAAGGTAATCCTGTGTGTGAGCGATGTTTAGGGAAAGCTTTCTAGCCACCAAACAGCACGGACATATGAACAGAGGGTGAGGTCAGCGAGACCCTGCAGAGACGTCCTCATGGGCACCCCATAGTGACCAGTTAAGAAGGGGGCGCCGTGGGAACGGTGGGGGAAGTAATCTGAGAGGTAGCTCAGGTGAAGCATTGATGGGAACCTGGTCGGGGTGAACTGGGAGTTACGGAAAGGAGCAGGGCCAAGACCCACCAGCTTTCTTTCCGAGAGGGTGAGTGAGATGGGGGGCGGAGGGGCGGGGAGACCCTGCTGGCCGGAGTTGGCTCCGGGCCGTCCGGGGAGGCCTGCGGGCGTGACCGGCGTAGACTTGGAGTGTCGGCGAGTGAACCGTGGTCAGCGCCCCTGCCCCACCCCTTGAGCTTCAGGCCAGCTCGCCCGTGCAGACCAGGCTGTTCGTTAGCCCCTGCGCACGGACCGAGGTGGCCTGAGGTGCCCGTTCTGCCTCCAGCGGGGCCTTCTGGAGCAGCAGCAGCGGGAGCGAGATGACACCAGCTTCCGGGGCGTGTGCATGTTCTGCAGCGAGGAGTTCCTCGGAAACAGGTTTGCCCCCGTGCGTGTCTGTGAACGTGGCTGTTTCCATGTGAACACCCATCAGAACACCCGCAGTGGTCGCCTAAGTTAAGCTCCACGGGCTTATATCGTCGGCAGCGATGTTTCGAGCATGCCTGACATCACACACGAGCTGCAGTCGCTGTGAGCAGAGGCGGAAGTGAATTTTTTAAATGCCAAGCAGGTTTATGTTTAATGCTGTCGGACGTTTTAATTGGGTGGCAGGCAGGACTGTGTGAAGAAGCTACTGCAGACACGCTGTCCTGTATTAACTCCTTAGCTGAACTTTGAGCAGTATGACTGCTTTACTTTTGAAAAAAACACTGNTGCCTCCAGCTGCTGAGTCAGGATGGAGACGGCGCGCTGACCCTCCGCCGCTGAGCTTGACATTTTAAACCCATTAGGCCAGGGTGCGGCCTGTGGTCACGGCCTTCCGCCTGAGAGCAAGCGGCCTCGCGTCGGCTGCTGGGGAAGTTCAGACACGTGGCGCCTGTGCCCCTGCCCTCGCCTCGCCCCCTCCCGGCCCTGAGGAACGTCCCGCACACCCAGCCGGCAGGAGGCTCTGTAGAACCAGGGGCTGGCGGCTGTGGTTTGCGGGTCTCTGCGCAGCTTCCTGTGGGCTCTCAGCATTACACTGTCCTGTTGGGAAGGGGCTCTCAGACCCACCCAGACACCCCGCTTCACAGAGGGAGAAGGGGGGGGCACGGCTCCGGGCGGGTCTTCTACAAACCGAGTGTGTGAAATTCGGTTTTCCTTTCCCGATACCTCTTCTTCGTGACTTTCACTGCCAATTTCCATTTTCACGTGAAGGTCTCTTAAAGAGCAATCATTAAAGTTGTCTGATACGTCGACCTCACCCCTTGTATTTCTTCTGCTTTCGCCTGTCCGCTTGCTGCCAGCCTGGAGCCCTCTTCTCCCTGGGCCGGAACGTCTGCTTTTCCATTTGCCGTGTGTCAGGTGCCCGGCGAGGTCTCCGCCCGCATGTGGGAGCCCAGCGTCGTCAGAGCTGCAGCTGCTGGGACCTCCCCGAGTCCCGCCCCGCACACGCACACGCACACGCACACGCACGGCTCAGGGTCTGCGCAGATGAAGGAGCCCAGTGGTTCCCGGAGCCCCTCGGCAGCTCCCCCTTTCTGGTGCCTTGTCCCCCGGATTCCACTCCCTGGAATGTCCTGAGCTCCGGCCTTTTTTCCTCCGCCCAGCAAGGTAGCTGTAGTTGGTTTGGGTTTCGTTTCTCTATGTTGCAATTTGGAAAATACCAGCCAGCAGAGCGCCGGCGATGTGTTATTTTGTTTCTCGTAAGGCCCCCGGCCCCGATGTCGGAAAACATCACAAACTCCGGGGGTGACGCCCCCCCCCCAGCCGTGGAAGCGGGGGAGGGGGGCGCGTTGATCTGTATTAGGGCAGCTTCTTCGTGTTTCTTTCTTCCGTGGATTACTATTTCTGTATGTTTGTTGATACATTTCCACAAAGGCCACATGGACTGCATTAGCTTCTAGACCCCGGCCCCTTTTTATGCTGTGCCCTAAATACTTAGGGAATCAGCAGTAAACTTCACGAAGCTCCTATTCTGAGCCCCGTGCTCAGAGAAGCTGGGGAGTCGCATGCCAATGTAATACAAGAACCACATAAAGACTTTTTTATAGCTTCAAAGGCTTTCGTATCCCTGCAGAAGAGAAAACAGGCGACAATGGGTAGTGATCAGAGGAGACCGACGCTGCCTGGGTGACAGTAACATCCCGCGTTTAATAGCCCGCGTGCAATTCAAACCCTCCCCGTAATCGCCTGACTTCATCCCGTGAACAGCGCTATGAGACAGTATTTTCATTTTCATCTTAAAAGTGAGCAGCCTGCGGATCGAAGAGGCTAAGTGAAGCCCGGGTGGCAGCCAGGTCTCACTCCTGTGTCTGCTGCGCGTTTCAGACGCCGAGCTCTCACCTGAGCGGGCGTCCAGGCCTGGCAGCGTGAGCACAGGGGCACCCAGCGGGGCTCTTAGGGTAGGTGAGATTCCTGAGAGAGAGGAATGCAGCAACTGCAAGGAGAGACAGTGTAGAGACACCCCAATAGGACAGGTGTTACCAAAGCGCGCTTAAAGTGAATTGCGTCAGCAAATAACAAGGTAATCCTGTGTGTGAGCGATGTTTAGGGAAAGCTTTCTAGCCACCAAACAGCACGGACATATGAACAGAGGGTGAGGTCAGCGAGACCCTGCAGAGACGTCCTCATGGGCACCCCATAGTGACCAGTTAAGAAGGGGGCGCGGTGGGGGAAGTAATCTGAGAGGTAGCTCAGGTGAAGCATTGATGGGAACCTGGTCGGGGTGAACTGGGAGTTACGGAAAGGAGCAGGGCCAAGACCCACCAGCTTTCTTTCCGAGAGGGTGAGTGAGATGGGGGGCGGAGGGGCGGGGAGACCCTGCTGGCCGGAGTTGGCTCCGGGCCGTCCGGGGAGGCCTGCGGGCGTGACCGGCGTAGACTTGGAGTGTCGGCGAGTGAACCGTGGTCAGCGCCCCTGCCCCACCCCTTGAGCTTCAGGCCAGCTCGCCCGTGCAGACCAGGCTGTTCGTTAGCCCCTGCGCACGGACCGAGGTGGCCTGAGGTGCCCGTTCTGCCTCCAGCGGGGCCTTCTGGAGCAGCAGCAGCGGGAGCGAGATGACACCAGCTTCCGGGGCGTGTGCATGTTCTGCAGCGAGGAGTTCCTCGGAAACAGGTTTGCCCCCGTGCGTGTCTGTGAACGTGGCTGTTTCCATGTGAACACCCATCAGAACACCCGCAGTGGTCGCCTAAGTTAAGCTCCACGGGCTTATATCGTCGGCAGCGATGTTTCGAGCATGCCTGACATCACACACGAGCTGCAGTCGCTGTGAGCAGAGGCAGAAGTGAATTTTTTAAATGCCAAGCAGGTTTATGTTTAATGCTGTCGGACGTTTTAATTGGGTGGCAGGCAGGACTGTGTGAAGAAGCTACTGCAGACACGCTGTCCTGTATTAACTCCTTAGCTGAACTTTGAGCAGTATGACTGCTTTACTTTTGAAAAAAACACTGAATTTCTGTGACCCTAGCTCGCAGCAGGTCGTGTGTCATGGCAGCCGTCTCTCCCCTTCCCCGTGAGACTTGGAAAGGTAGGCGATGCAGTTTATCTAGTAGTTTAAAGGACAGAAACCCAGTCTCCCGTAGAGCGTTAGTGACAGTGAGGGACAGTGACACAGGCTCAGAACCCCTGGTGTGGCTCTGCGGCTCCCACACCTGAAGGCGTCTGCATGGCCCAGGTGTGCGTCCGCGGGAGGCCCGTGCCCGTCCTGCCCACTTGTGTTCATCCTGCTTTGTTCCTCGGTGCTTGAGGAGTAACATAAACTGCTCGGCCCCCTTCCCAGATCCGTCCTGTTGAACCACATGGCCAGAGAGCACGCCTTCAACATCGGGCTTCCGGACAACATTGTAAACTGCAGCGAATTTCTCTGCGTGTTACAGAGAAAGCTGGACAAGTAAGTACTTCATGCGACACAGCCTTCAGCTGTTAGTCCCGGACTCATGAATTTTTAAAAAATAACTTAACAGAAGTAACTAAAGAAATGCGCTCTTTTCACTTTTCATGTTGGAGGACTCGCATTTGGTGTGACCGTCCTCACTGTGTGCAGATCATATTGTCTTTGATGTTTTTTAAATAAAAATGTCACACACCCCAAACAGCGTGCAGGCCATCTAGGGGTGTTAAATGGGGCGTGAAGAGTGTGCTCACCCCCAGCCTGGGAAACGGAGTGCTGGGAATTGTGTTCAGCCTCCCTCCGCCCTCCTGGTGAGCATTTCCCAGAAACCGCCATTCTGAACTTCGGGTTGATAATTTCTTTACTTTTTGCTATAACGTTTTTACATTTTTAGTAAATACACTGCCACATTGTGGTATGTTACTCAGCTTTATGGGAGAGATAAGATGCTGGATGCGTCCTCATATTTACCCACATTTATACCATAACATCCACAGTCCCCAAGGTCATATTGTGGTGACCTTGGGTTTCTAGAGCTCGGCCTGTAGACTTGAGGAAGGACACGAGCCGTGGACAGTTGTTACACTTGGTGGGCGAAGCCAACGCTCGTTACCTTTGTGAGCCTCTGAAGAACATGCTCACATTTTCATTTTTAAAATAGGCGATTGGATTAGTAAAGCAGCCAAATAATTTTGGGGTATTAGCTATCTTTGTCTCAGTTTTAACTAAACAGCCACCGTAGCCAACTCGAAAATAAACGTGCACCCTGCCAAGCCAGGCACGTGACGTGAGGGGTTTGGACGAGGGCATCGCGTCCCACTGGAAGATCTGCGTGTCCTGAAGTGGACGGGGAGTCGGTAATGAGACAGCACAGTGCCCGCAGCCTGCCCCAGAGCCTGGCCTGACCCGTGTGTCCCTCCCAGCCTGCAGTGCCTCTACTGCGAGAAGACCTTCCGGGACAGGAACACGCTTAAAGACCACATGAGGAAAAAGCAGCACCGCAGGATCAACGCCCGGAACAGGGAGTACGACCAGTTCTACGTCATCAATTACCTGGTGAGTCTCCCCCGCGTTGCGGTGGCTGCACTTGCACGGCACCGTCTGCCTGAGCGCCGCCTAATCAAGCAGGCGGCCAGCACAGAGGCCGGGTGTAACCGAGGGGCCCTCTAAGCAGCGGCTGGCTTCCAGAGGGCCAGTTTACAAAGAAAAGATAACTTGATCGGTGGGTCTTGATTTGCCAGTTTATGTTTAGTGGGAATTGTAGAGAAACCGAGTCACTGAGGTCATCTCACTAGGCAAGAGGACTTTTATGTGTCCGGCTTGTAGGACAGACGAACGGGGTCACAGGTGAGGGTTTTCAACACATTGAAACTCTCCTTGTTCAGAAGCCTCAGTCCCACAGACTGGCCTCGGGGTCACAGTTCCTTTGGGTTAAGAAAAGGTAATCAGCCCTGGCCAGTGTGGCTCAGTGGTTGGGCGTCTTCCATGCACCAAAAGGTGGTTGGTTCCATTCCCCGTCGGGGCACATGCCCGGGTTCCAGCTCGCCCCCCAGTCAAGGGCGTGCAGGAGGCAGCCGATCGATGACCCTCATCATTGATGTTTCTCTCTCTCTCCCTCTCCCTTCCTCTCTCTCTAAAAAACCAATAAAAATATTTAAAAGAAAAAGAAAAGGTATTCAGTTGGACAGGGAACACTGGGGGACTTACAGGGGCTTTATGACCGACACAGTGACTCCCGTCGCTGCCCCAACCTGCTGACTTCTGGGGGGTGCACTTAGCAAATTAGGTAAACTACGACTTGTGCAGAGGGGTGACGCCCCCCCGGTGGGATCAGGCGGAGGGTGGGGAGCTGTTTCTGACACGTGTCTTAGGCAGGTGGAAACTGGTTTTCTCCTCTCTGTAAATGAACTGGAATTCAGACCCGGGCCAGAGAAGGCACAACTTATTGTCACCAGCCGTTTATCTGTGGGACAGAAGGGAGCGTGTCCTGAATGACGTCGGGAACCGCTGCTCCGGGCTGGTACTTCCGTCTGTCTAACTGATCCGTATAGCGCTGGAATGAAACTCCCCTTGAAGCCAGCTTAGCGTGTGTTTGAAGATTGACTGAGAGGAAGCCGTGTAGCTGCAGATGTTTTACAACTGGCTAGCGGCAGAGGCCCGTCTGAGCCCTTCATCTTCTCTTCAAGTCGCTCAGTGATTAATTCCCGGAGCCGGGCTGCCTCGGGCCCAGCCCGTCCACCTGGGAGGGGACGTCAGTGTCAGCTCTAAGGATTCGGGCCGCAGAAGCTCAGGGAGCAATTCCATAGCCCTTCCTTCAGGGCTCTTACAAACCAACATTCAGGAGCTGGGACGTGCGGGAATGTTTGTAGCTGGAGGCGTTCATCTCAGAGGCGACTTCAGAGGGACGGGACTGCTCGCTCCGCTCTGCTGGCACTTGCAGAAGGTGGGAGGCTCGTTCCCTGGGCATCGGGCCGCACGACTGTCGCAGCCGGAACTCTCCGCAGGGCCAGCTGTCTCTAGCAAGTTCTAGATCGTCCCGCCCACGCATGCCCGGCTTTGATGGGCGTGAGTCACGGCCTAGAGATGCGCTGCAATAACTGTATAAGATGGAAATTAAGTCACTTCAGGGTGATATTGACAGACGTGTTGTTTTTAACTTTGGCAGCATCTGAGCACTTGCTCTGTGCCAGGCACTGTCCGGTGCTTCTATTGTCATTTAGCCTCAGCCACATCCCTGTGGCCCAGGCCTCAGCATTACCCCCACTTCCGAGGTTAGAAAGAAGGGGCCTGAAGACGCTCATGAAGTCTCTAGAGACTGTGAGTGTCCTAAATTAGGGGGGTGCTCCCCCGGGCTCGGCCTTAACAAGGCCCTCGGGTGCTGCTGCGAGTAGAAGGTGCAATCACACAGAAGGCAGGTGGGGGCGTCTGCAGTGTCGCTGGTGTGGAGTCGGGCAGAGGGGGCCCGGGAGCCGCAGCTTTGCTTTATACCCCGTTGGTGGAGACATTTACTACGAAGAATAAATTCTTCCGAAAGTTGACCTGAGCAGTGAATCATGACATTTTTTATTTGAAAAGAGAAAGCAGGCGACATGCAGGCCCCGTGTGGACAGCGACAAGAATCGTCGTCAGTGGTCAGTGTCTGTGGGTCCATCTCTCTCATCTCTCTGCAGAAACCACCTCACTGGCTTTGTGCATTTTACAAACATTTGAGTGCCTTCCAGGGACCAGGTTCTGGTGGCACAGGAGGAAAAATGCTGCAGGAAGGTGGCGGGTTGTCACAACTCTCAGCGTCTGTGGGCTGGTGTGGGGACGGCCCCTGGGCTCATGGCTCCCACGCCGGGGCTGGTGCGCGTGTCCGTGTTCTCACCTCTCCCGCAGCAGAGCCCCGCACCCGCACCTCCCTCCAGACACCCTCCAGACCTGCCGTGACGGAGCCTGCACACTCCTGGCCAGAGGCCCCCGATGCTCTTACAGCGGGAGGGCCAGGGCCAGGCTGCCCGGGGCTCCTGTGAGCTCAGCAAACTCATATTGCTTCTCCTTCTTAGGTGGTTTCCTGTGTAATTATTCAGACAGTTTCCGAGTAATGACAGACTTGCAAACCCATTACAGGCCCTTCGCAGAGACTGGATCATCTCCTTGGTTCAGTTCTTTCTTTGTTTTCTCACAAACGAAAGGGCTGGGTGGATGGTGACGGTGATGGGGACAGGTTCCCGGAGCTTCACGTTCAGATAGTCAGGCGCNTCAGATACCCCACCTCCTTCAGACACCCCCACCTCCTTCAGATACCCCAATTCCTTCAGACACCCCACCTGGTTCAGACACCCCCCTCATTCAGACACCCCCTCGTTCAGACACCACCACCTCCTTCAGACACCCCCACCTCCTTCAGATACCCCACCTCCTTCAGACACCCCCACCTCCTTCAGATACCCCACCTCCTTCAGACACCCCACCTGGTTCAGACACCCCCCTCATTCAGACACCCCCTCGTTCAGACATCACCACCTCCTTCAGACACCCCCACCTCCTTCAGATACCCCACCTCCTTCAGACACCCCACCTGGTTCAGACACCCCCCTCATTCAGACACCCCCTCGTTCAGACACCACCACCTCCTTCAGATACCCCAACTCCTTCAGACACCCCCCTCCTTCAGACACCCTGACCTCAGGGAGCTACAGGCCACTTAAATCATCGCTGAAGCTTTAGCTACAGGCTCCCAAGTGCTCAGGCTTCAAGCCCTGAGCTCCTCTAAAGGGACCTGGTTTTATAGTGATCTTGCCCTTCTTTGCTTTAATTTTTTATTCTATATGGAGGCGTTTATAGCGAAGTAGGCTCCGCCTTCTCTCCGTAGTTTATCGCGCTCTGATGCACGCTCTGCATTTCCGACGCTCTCCGGCGGGTTTCTGTGCGAGCACGTGTGTGCTGGGTGAGGGGAGCTGGGGGACGGGCTGTTTTCCGTGGCTCTGCCCTCGTTGGTGGCGAGCCATCTGACACCAGGCTGGGGGTGTTGTGAGCACCTTCCTGCCAAGCTGTCCAGACTGTTTTCCTCATGGTCTTCGCCTCCCTGATGTGACTCATTAGCAGCCCGGTGTCTTCATTAGAGAGTCGTGTGCGTTGCTGCTCTCTCTGGGTCCCGCTCCTGTGATAAATCATGTATGTAACTGTACAGAGCAGGACACGCCGGGAGAGCCTGGGCCACTGTCTCACGCACACGGCTTGTTTCCTGATACACCGTGAGCAGAGCTCTGTGTCCTCTGTCTCCCCTTCCCCGCCCCACCCCCACCTCTCTAATCCCTGTTTTTCCTGCAAAGGAACTTGGAAAATCGTGGGAGGAGGTTCAGTTGGAAGATGACCGGGAGCTGCTGGGCCATCAGGAGGAGTAAGTCTGGCTGCTGTGCTGATGGACTCGTGTGTGAAGAGCAGGGAGACGCTTCTTTAGTGGGTTTCAGTGTCACTCTGGGAAGACAGAGTAAAGGAAAGAAGCCTTCTCCCTGAGCTTGCAGCTCCGTGTAGCACAGGAAAGCTGGGGCTCGGGAGAGCTCGACCGGCTCACTCCAGCAGCTGTTGTTCAGCTGAACAGACACTGAGCAGCCGTGGAAGGTATTGACGCAGGTGACACACGCAGGTGACACACGCAGGTGACACACACAAGTGACACGCAGGTGACACATCATTCAGAGAAAACGCTTTCCAAAGGGCCCTGCTGACTCGGCTGGTCCCTGACCCTGAAGGGACGTGGCCTCTGACCTCTGGAGTGGAGAAGGTGAGGGACTGGAGGTCAGTCTATTCTTGTTTATCGGGCTTCTTGGCTGAAGTCACGAGCTGGAGGAGGGTCCCCTTCAACCCGAAGGGCCCCCGTCACCCGTCCTCCCCTCACTCTGCTGTTTGGCCTTTTTCTCTCCTGGGATTTTTACTTCCCTGGTTCAGGAAGGACGAGAAGTTGGCAGAATCTCAAAAAATAAATGCAAGGAAACGAGGAAATGGTTGAAAGGGGAGGGGACCCTACATGCTTTCGGAGTTTTCCATCGCCCACCCAGAGCTAGCACTTGCCCCATTTAGAACGATCACTTTCCCGCATGAGACACATGGTTTGCCTTTAAAAACACGCCATTTGCCACGTGGAACATGCCAGCATCACGCATCCCGGCTGCGCGCCCAGCGGTGTGGCTCTGAAAGCCCCCGTCCCCACCTGTCCCGCCCACATTAAACCCGTCCTCGCGGGAGGACATTGCGCCGATTCCGGCGAAGTCGCTGCTGGGAAGAGAGCAACGCGGAGCAGCCCCCGCTCTGCGCGCTCGCCCTGCTGCCGCCTTGGGTTCCGAGGGCCGCGGGCGCCGCCGTGATGCCACGTGCCAGGCCCTGCCGCCGTCGGAGGCGGGCGGGCGGGGCCCCTCCTGCCCGAGGGGATCTCGAGTTGCGGCTTTCTGTGTGCCACAGGGACTGGTCGGACTGGGAGGAGCACCCCGTCCCCGCCGTCTGTCTGTTCTGTGACAAGCAGGCGGAAGCCATGGAGAAGCTGTGCGTGCACATGGAGGTGAGACGCTTTCCTTCGCCTGAGTTTGTCCTGTCCGGTCCTGTCCTGTTCTGACGGGCTGACGGTAACGCANCTCCGCCTTCTCTCCGTAGTTTATCGCGCTCTGATGCACGCTCTGCATTTCCGACGCTCTCCGGCGGGTTTCTGTGCGAGCACGTGTGTGCTGGGCGAGGGGAGCTGGGGGACGGGCTGTTTTCCGTGGCTCTGCCCTCGTTGGTGGCGAGCCATCTGACACCAGGCTGGGGGTGTTGTGAGCACCTTCCTGCCAAGCTGTCCAGACTGTTTTCCTCATGGTCTTCGCCTCCCTGATGTGACTCATTAGCAGCCCGGTGTCTTCATTAGAGAGTCGTGTGCGTTGCTGCTCTCTCTGGGTCCCGCTCCTGTGATAAATCATGTATGTAACTGTACAGAGCAGGACACGCCGGGAGAGCCTGGGCCACTGTCTCACGCACACGGCTTGTTTCCTGATACACCGTGAGCAGAGCTCTGTGTCCTCTGTCTCCCCTTCCCCGCCCCACCCCCACCTCTCTAATCCCTGTTTTTCCTGCAAAGGAACTTGGAAAATCGTGGGAGGAGGTTCAGTTGGAAGATGACCGGGAGCTGCTGGGCCATCAGGAGGAGTAAGTCTGGCTGCTGTGCTGATGGACTCGTGTGTGAAGAGCAGGGAGACGCTTCTTTAGTGGGTTTCAGTGTCACTCTGGGAAGACAGAGTAAAGGAAAGAAGCCTTCTCCCTGAGCTTGCAGCTCCGTGTAGCACAGGAAAGCTGGGGCTCGGGAGAGCTCGACCGGCTCACTCCAGCAGCTGTTGTTCAGCTGAACAGACACTGAGCAGCCGTGGAAGGTATTGACGCAGGTGACACACGCAGGTGACACACGCAGGTGACACACACAAGTGACACGCAGGTGACACATCATTCAGAGAAAACGCTTTCCAAAGGGCCCTGCTGACTCGGCTGGTCCCTGACCCTGAAGGGACGTGGCCTCTGACCTCTGGAGTGGAGAAGGTGAGGGACTGGAGGTCAGTCTATTCTTGTTTATCGGGCTTCTTGGCTGAAGTCACGAGCTGGAGGAGGGTCCCCTTCAACCCGAAGGGCCCCCGTCACCCGTCCTCCCCTCACTCTGCTGTTTGGCCTTTTTCTCTCCTGGGATTTTTACTTCCCTGGTTCAGGAAGGACGAGAAGTTGGCAGAATCTCAAAAAATAAATGCAAGGAAACGAGGAAATGGTTGAAAGGGGAGGGGACCCTACATGCTTTCGGAGTTTTCCATCGCCCACCCAGAGCTAGCACTTGCCCCATTTAGAACGATCACTTTCCCGCATGAGACACATGGTTTGCCTTTAAAAACACGCCATTTGCCACGTGGAACATGCCAGCATCACGCATCCCGGCTGCGCGCCCAGCGGTGTGGCTCTGAAAGCCCCCGTCCCCACCTGTCCCGCCCACATTAAACCCGTCCTCGCGGGAGGACATTGCGCCGATTCCGGCGAAGTCGCTGCTGGGAAGAGAGCAACGCGGAGCAGCCCCCGCTCTGCGCGCTCGCCCTGCTGCCGCCTTGGGTTCCGAGGGCCGCGGGCGCCGCCGTGATGCCACGTGCCAGGCCCTGCCGCCGTCGGAGGCGGGCGGGCGGGGCCCCTCCTGCCCGAGGGGATCTCGAGTTGCGGCTTTCTGTGTGCCACAGGGACTGGTCGGACTGGGAGGAGCACCCCGTCCCCGCCGTCTGTCTGTTCTGTGACAAGCAGGCGGAAGCCATGGAGAAGCTGTGCGTGCACATGGAGGTGAGACGCTTTCCTTCGCCTGAGTTTGTCCTGTCCGGTCCTGTCCTGTTCTGACGGGCTGACGGTAACGCAGCCTCACCAGCTTGCACCTTTAGGTCCTCAGGCCCGTCCACCCTGAAGGGGCTACAGCAAAGCGGGAGGCAGCCCCCCATTCACACAGCCCCCCATTCACACAGCCCTGGGGGGAGGCCCAGGCTGTGGTCTCGCAGCTGCCTCGGTGACCAGCATCTGGAGAGAAGGGATCTGGGAGAATTCCCCGCGCCTGTTCCCTTCCGGGTGCCACTTCTTGTCATGATGAAGCTCGGAGCTGGCAGCTCTCAGCCTGTTTCCAGGGCTGCGGGGGCCGATTGCGGTGGGGAACATGTGCCCACGGGGACAGTTCCAACATGCTCCACCCACCCGTGCCCGTGGGGAGCCAACTCTGCCGCCTGACCCCCACCCCTGCCCGCCTCAGTGCGCCCCCTCAGAGCTGCTCTGGCTCCGCGCAGTAAGGACAGGGCGGCCTTAGGAAGGCTCGGGCGCCTCCCGGTGACAGCAGTGGGCCGGGCCGCCACCTGTGTGTGTACGGATCCCAGTGTGTGCATTTAAGTCACGGGGTCCTGGCGGGTGAGAGCTGGAAGGAGCCTGCGTCCCGCCCTGCCTGGGGGCTCCCCCTGCAGCCTCCCCCCCATGCCCTCGCCCTCTGCTCACTTTCCTGGCGGCAGTCCTGGGATCCCATTGTCCTGCCTGAGTGCCCCCTAAATGCCCTCAGGGCTGATGGTCTTTACTGTGTGAGCTGTAGGTTCAGACGTTCACGAGGTGGACAGTGGCAGGGGTGGGGCGGAACAGAAAGAGCCTCCGCATCGTAAACACGTTCACTGGGGCTTACGGGAACACGGGGGTGGCAAGAAACCTGCCGGCTGACGCAGTGCATTCAGCGGCATAAAATGAGAAGGACTCTGTAAAGTCACCTCTGTCGTGGAGCAAAGAGCCCAGGTCCATGGTTCTTGTCCAGACATAGGACAGGAGGGCGCGTCTCCCCCGAGACGGGACAGCCTCGCCACGTGTCCCCCGAGACGGGACAGCCTCACCAGCCTGAGTCACGCGTAATGAACAGGAAACTGCGGGTGCAGGCTGGGGGATTCGGGGTTTTACCTGGCACGCAGGGCTGGGGGGGCTAGATTTCCAAGACTTCAGAAGCAGGAGGCGATGGGCTGAGGCTGAGGTTCCCAGCGCCCAGGCTCCTGTGAAGAAGCAGTTTACTCTTCAGCGGGAAGAGTCAATATTCACCTGCTCACAGACGTGCCCATTCCTTCCCTTAGGAGGCGCATGGATTCGATCTCCTCAAAGTCAAGTCAGAGCTCGGTAAGTGGCCTTGGGGCTGCGTCTCTGCGCCGTCCGGGGAACACGCTCAGGTTCTGCCGTCATGAGGGGAGAGGACACGGCCACCCCGAGTCCCCCCCAGACGGTCTCCACTGTGGCTGGAGGCAGGGACTCGCAGCCACCTCGAACTTCATGTTCACACACGGGCTGTGACTCCATGTGGTCCCTCCCTCCTTCTCACATGTATCAGTGCTTCTCATAAAATGCAAGTTCACATTACTGTCCGAATGTCCAACTGGAGTTCACATTCCAGCTGCCCCACCTGCTGGCTGTGACCCTGGCCCTCCGGTGACGAGCATTCTGGGGAGGGGGCCGTGTACATAAAACACCCCGTGCTGCTCGGGGTGCAGCTGGATCCGTCATCATAGATGCACCCAGTGCATTGTCCCCAGAGTCACTGTGGCGGAAAGATTCAGGCATTAAAACAAAGTACGGACTTGCTAATGGACCTGAGACCAACCGTGAAAAGCTCACTTCCCGCGGTCCAGTCCGCGAGCTCTCCTAGCTCCGGGCGTGTCCTGTGCTTTGCTGCAGGATTATAACAGCGCAGAGATGGGCTCCCAGGGGTTGGGTGACTGTGTGTTTCCATCTCTCAGGATTGAATTTCTACCAGCAAGTGAAGCTGATCAACTTCATCCGGCGGCAGGTTCACCAGGGCAGGTGCTATGGCTGCCGGGCCAGGTTCGCGTCCAGGGCCGAGCTGAGGACCCACCTGGCAGAGGCCAAGCACGCGGCCCTGCTCCCCGACAGGCAGACGTGGGACCAGCCCGAGTGAGTGCGGTTCCCTGTTCACGCCTTTGGTCTACTTGTGGGGCTTAAATAAGGGAGAAACGTATGCTTAGGGGGAGGGGAAAGTTTTCAGAAGCCTGTGTTTAAGTAATTCCCTGCCTTACAGATAACCACCTGGTTCAGACTTTGTCTGTGGAGCTAGATGGGTATGTAAGTAGATACAGAAGCATAGATTTTTTAATTGTATTTTGTTAACAAAATATGGTAAGCATCTTTCGCATCTAATACACATCTATGGCATCATTTTTAATTGGTGCCAAATATCCCATTGCCGGAATATGTCCTAATTTCTTAGGTGTCACTTTTTGTTCTTACAAATAGTAATACAGTGAACACCTGTGGGCCTGCACATTTTGATTAGGCCGGCACCTGTCTGATTATTTCACTTACGTGAACTCCCAGAAATGACTGTGTCTAAGAGGGTGCAAGTCCCAGGGCTTTGGGCATGTATTTCCCACGTTGGCAGTTTAACATGAAGCTCCTGGTCTGCTGTGCACGCCTACGGGGCGCTCTCAGGCTCCCAGGTATCCTTGGCCAGTCCAGCCTCTGGCTGGCCCTCACAGCGCTCTACTGACCTTGGTTAAGCGACCTCTGAGAGGCTGTGGGGTTCTAGCTACTTGGAGGTTCCTCTATTCCCAGGGAATCAGTCAGGTCCCCCAAAAACTCCAGCCAGAAAGCTCTATTTTCCTCTTTGAAACAAAAGGCTTTGGTTTTCCACAAATCTCAGGTTTGGGAGAGGCAAGGTCAGCCCTGGCTGGACCCGGGGCCTTCTTCCTGTAATTCTTACGTAGGTTGAACTCTGTAGAGGCGCCCAGAACTAACCACACAGCGCGTCCAGACGGGGACCCAGAACAACACATAAGAATCTATGGAGCTTTTTCTTTTTTTATCACCCAGAATGAAGGAACCAGTAACAATTAGGCTGGGAAGGAAAACACAGGGAACACGGTTGTTTTCCTCAGATATCTCAAGGAGCAGGGTATGAGAACGTAGCTGTATTCGAACGTTGCTGACCAGGGGGAAGAGCTGGGACCTTTGAGCGGAGTGGGGGTGCCTGGTGAGCCCGAGGCTGGAGCCCGCTGCCTTCGAGGCAGTGAGTTCCTGATGAGGTAGAAAACCAGCCAGGATACTGCAAAGACGTGCGGGCCCGTCAGGGTCAAACTGAACGACATCCAGAAGACACCTCCCTGCCAGCCTTGGCAAAATGCCGTTGAAATTGTGGGCAAGGAAGCCTAGCGAAAGTGTAGTAACGTGTGCGCTCAGCAGCCCAGGCATGCTCTGGATTAGTTATAATCTGGTCACTCGGTATCTCTGTGGTGTTGCAGGTACTATTTTCCAACCTATGAAAATGACAGTCTGCTGTGCACACTGTCTGACAGCGACAGTGACCTGGCAGAGCAGGAACAGAGCGGGAGCGTCACCGTCATCGGCGAGGACACGTCCCGGCTCCAGGCTCTGAAGCAGAGCAGCGTCCTGAACCAGCTGCTGCAGGCAGGCGTGAGGCGCTAGGGGCCGCTCGGAGCAGTCCCCCTGCCCCGCCGTCGCGAGCCAGGCGCGACGGAGGCCTGCACACCGGAGCCCCAGCCAAGGACCGTCCTTGCTGAAAGAAACTTTTAAAAAACTACATGCTTTTTCAAAAAATAAAATGAGGACTTTTTAAACTTTGGCTCTAACGTTTTATCATGTAATCATCGTTGCATATCTCGTTTCACCTGACTCATTGTGATAGGACACGCAGATCACAAAGAGATGAAATGTTCAAATTATTTATAAACCAGGTTTCAGCCGGAGTTGTCAGCCCTTCCCCCAGGCCCTCTGTCCGGGAAGCCACAGATTTGCCCGCCGCGAGCTCCGCGCGCTGCTCTGGGTAAGCCGCGGCCTGGTGGCCCATCGGGGAGCCACGGAGGAGAGGAGATGGGCAAAGACCCAGATATCGCGCAGGTCGGGCACTGTTTCAGGATGATCGAGACTGAGGACGTATCGTTACCGCCTTCTGCCTGGACTTGCAAGCTCCCTAGAAGTGGATGAGAGGCCAAATGGCTTCACTTTCCACTGCTGTGTAGGTAACGGATAAGTGCCATTTCCAGGAAGGCAACTATGTTCCGTTAGGACATCTAACAAAATTAACAATAACTTCTTAATATAAAGAAATGCCTTTTTACAGTATTACCGGTTATAAGACAAATGCTTTAAGCCGCCTGCTAAGATGCAGTGAGGAGGGGAAACATCCCTTTTAAGGATTCCTCCCCAAAACGTGTAATGCGAATATGACGGAGACGCAGGCATCCAGGCCAGGTCGAGGGAAGGTCTGTGGGACACTTGGCCTTCATCCCTCCCCAGCCGGGACAGGAGAAAGCAGAGGCGATGCTCTTCAGACTGAAGACACAGCGCAACCTGCAACCCGGGATTGGATCCTGGACCAAGAAAAAGGGTTTTTCTTTTGCTATAAAAGGTGTTAGAGGGACAACTGGCAAAACTTAAGTACAGTCTGTAGTAAATGTTATGATACTGGTGCTAATTTCCAAATGTTGGTAATTTATATGCAGGATTAATACTCAACCCACTTCCTCCCAAGGCCCTCAGATTGCAGCCATTGTCTGCTTAGTCTGCAGAGGGCCACCCCACGTCCCCGCGGTTTAATGGAACGATTTCTGCACGCTGCGGGGGATGGAGAGCTGCGGGAGTAAACCGGAGCCGCAGGTGAACTCTCGGGCCTTACGATTGATACTTTCGGAAGCTCAATCCCTGCTGATAACAATTTGCAAGACTGAATGGCGTTGCAAGAATGTTAATCGAAACTGAAAACACTCAAATAACTTAGCACAGTATTAACTCAGTGTTCTAAGGTTCAAGGGATGCTGTGTCCCTGTGTTCAAGGGATGCTGTTTCTCTCTTGGTCCAAGATGGACAATTCCTGTCCATTTCTCCCTTGGCCCCAGAAGGCCCCACTCGAATGCCGTCTTCATTGCCCTCGCATCTGGAATGTCCTCTCAGGCTCCCAAATGGTGAACGGTGCCTTTGGAACACTCTCAACAATCAGATGCCTGCTGACTTGCATGTCGGTGGAGCTGTTGCTAACGACAGCCCGTCTCTGTGTGCCCGCAGGAGGGGCGAGCTTATCTTCAGGGGCTGGGCCCTGGGAGTCAAAGCAGCCGAGGGGGGTGTTCAATCCTGTGCTTTCAAGCACAGCGCACGGAGCGCCCTGGGGAGCCACTCGGGCTTTCAAGCCTCGGCTATTTATCTGCACGAAGTTGGTGTGGGATTTGGAGGAATGTAAAAGGCCCAGCCCAGGGGCGAGCATGTAATGAGGCCGAAGCCACTTGTTATGTTTGTTGTTTTAATGCTCTTTGGTATTGGGACGAGCCTACGGGCTGCATGCAGGGAAAGGAATGGGCCTTGGGAAGGATCTAGGGAGGGTGTAACCCTGTTATTACGTAATTGTGGCCCAAAATCTCCATTAGAGGGTTATTCTGTGAATTAATCACTTTTTAAAAGCACAAATAATTTGTAAATTAAAGTTTATCATAGGTATGTGTGTATAGGAAAACACAGTATATGCAGGGCTTGGTACTATACGTGGTTTCAGGGGGACTTGGAACAACGTGCCCCCCCGAGCCCCGTGGATGAGGGAGCGGCTCAGGTTCTGTGTTAGTGTCAGTGTCTGCTGAGCCCAGGTGTACATTTCATGTGCTGTTCATCCGAGGGTGTGTTTGGAGCAGTTCGTGTGAACAGACTTTAAAAGGCTTTTTATTCGGAAAAATTTCAAATGTATTCATAGATTAGTATGATGAGCTCCCACGTCTATGAATATTCTTATATGGAGGAAATCAAGTTAAAAAGAACATCAAGGGCAGCTCTGAAGTGGCAGAGAATTTGAGAAAGAACAGACAAAGGACGGTGGGATGAAAGGGAGGGATGCCTCAGACAAAGGCTCTCTATAAGACGTTTGGCACGGTGACAGCTCAGCTTGTCCTGGGGACATTCCGATGCCTCCCACAGGACACAGGAATAAATCCATCAGAACAAAACAGGCCGTAGTCCTGAGAATGTCCCTGTGAGCTGAGCAGCGTTTCTCAAACGTATGAGGTAGCCATTCTTATTAGGTCCACTTTGCAAATGAGGAGATAGTAGCTTTGAGACGTTCAAGTTAACTTCCTCTAAGTCCCATAGCGAATCATTGTCAGAGGTAAGATTTGAACCCAGGACCTTTTGAGGGAAGTGGGCGGAAGGGAATGGAGAGCAGCCTGCAAGGCTCAGCCAATCGGTGAAGAGCTCTGGCGGGGGCCCGCCTCCCCGAGGAAGGGGATGGGGCGGGGCCTTCACAGAGCAGAGGGGCTGAGACCCAGCCTGACTGCAGGCTGCGCACCACGGCTGAACCGCCGGTGACAAGGCCCTGTGGCCACCATGCTCTCCCAGCGCAGGGCTCCCAGCCACATTCCGTCCCCATTTGCAGCACCGTTGCTCCCTGGGCCTCTCTACCGAGGGAAACTTGGAAGATGGAGGTGAGTGGACAAGGTCGTCTTCATGATGTCCTTCAGCGTCCACTCTGAGTTCCTGTCGCCCTCACCTGACACCTCTGCTGGCCTCAGCGGCTCCCTTGCTGCCGTCTTTTACCCCCGAGGCCTCAGGTTCTGGCCACCTTGATAAGTCAACCCACTCAGCGTTCACCCCTCCCAGGCCTCTTTCTATACAGAGACCTCCGTTTTCTCTCTTCCTCTTGCTCCCTAATAACCGTTCCCCTTATCCAGCTAATTTTACCGTGTATGTCCCTTTAGTGAGTAAGCAGAATATCAGGCTCTTAGTGTATAAAGATCGTGCTGAAGTGCTCTGGGGTTACTGTCACTGTATCGTTCCTTGTATTATAAATAGATGCCTGTTCTGTCAGGGTCTCAGTCACATGACTATTCTAGAAACATTGTAGCAAGCAGATCAAGTTCATTGAAATAACTGCATTAATTACCTTCACTTCTGAGACTTGGGAATTTTTCTCCCCCAGTAACTCTCTCCAGAGGAAGTTCTATGGCCTGGCCCTGTGCCCCTGCCCTACGTGTCCAGGAGGCTGGCTCGGGTCTTCCGCGCTCTCCCGGCAGGCCTGGGGGCGTCCGCCGCTGCTTCACTTCGGCTGTGGCCTGCTGCTGAGTGCAGCCTGCCCACCGCATCCCCAACTGTGTCAATGTATTTCCAGTTCCCGCTTAACCACATTTCGATCTCTGCAGAAACGATTCCGTTTTTAAGCATTACATAGGCTTTCATTCACCATTTACTTTATGTTGACTTATGTAGTCTCCCAATTTCAAGGAAATTTCAAATTTAAATTTATACTTTCAGGAAGACCTGGGCAAGTTCTGAAACTTTGAGTCTTTTGAAGTAGGATGTGGAAGGAGGTGAGCTGTTTCTAGTGTCCTTCATAGCTCAGCATTGAAAATTTTGAATTGAGAAGAATTTAGGAAATACTGTATAAATCTAGATGTTGCTTTGAGATAGGAAGAAAAGGGCTATTGATTTATAGGAAACATTTTGTAAAAATTTCTGCTAGAAGACTCCGTTATAAGGTTTGAACATGACATCTAAATTTTGTGGTTTGTTTCCAATCTATGAATTTTTTATTTTTTATTTTTTTAATATATTTTTCTTGATTTCAGAGAGAGGAAGGGAGAGGGAGAGAGAGAGAAACATCAATGATGAGAGTCATGGATTGGCTGCCTCCAGCATGCCCCCTGCTTGGGATCGAGCCCACAACCCGGGCATGTGCCCTGACTGGGGATCGAACTGGGACCTCCTGGTTCAAGCATCAACACTCAACCGTTGAGCCATGCTGGCCAGCTAATTTTATTTTTAAATTATAGGTAAATTAAGTTACATTCAATATTATTACAATCTATGTATTGTTTTTAAAAGTTATTGACAATTCCAGCTGTTCCTGCCTCTGCAGAGCAATTTCCTCAAATTGAAGCTAATTAAGTAAATAAAACCCTAAAAACTTTAATTACTCAAGGAAGATTGTCTACTTGATATTACTGTCAATAGAACTCAAATTATGTGAAAATCTTGATTATAACTACATAATTAGTGTCTTTATTGAACTGAAAGCAAGAAAAAGAAATGTGTGGGATAAATTTAAAAGACATTGTAAATTATGCATATCTTTACGTTATGACTCTTCCCAACATCGCCAAACCATCAATGGGCCACACAGATCTGCATGATAATAGTTCAGTTCCGTTGTGTTTGGTATTTTGCCAGCTTTCAAATTTTACGCTTATCTATTTTGTCAGTAAGAAAGTTTATTTGGCCCTGGCCAGACAGCTCAGTTGGCTAGAGCGTCGCCCTTATACACCAATGTTGCAGGTTCGATTCCCGGTCAGGGCACATACAAGAGTCAAGCAAAGACCTGGCCGGCATGGCTCAGAGATTGAGCATCGACCTGGGATCCAGGAGATTACGGTTCAATTCCCGGTCAGGGCACATGCCCAGGTTGCAGACTTAATCCCCAGTGGGAGGCATGCAGGGGACATGACTCTCATCACTGATGTTTCTATCTCTCTCCCTCTCCCTTCCTCTCTCTGAAATCAATAAAAACATGTTTAAAAAAAAAGAAGTGAACCAATGAATATATAACTAAGTGGAACAACAAATCGATGTCTCTCTCTCTCCTTTCCTCTCTAAAATCAATAAAAATTTTTAAAACAGAAAGTTTATTTGTCAGTGTAGGAGACATGAACATATTTAATTTAACAGCTTGTTAGCTTGATTTATAACTTTTGCACATTTAGACTTAGTCTGTGGGCCTTCCTTGCACTCTTGCCCCAGGTTCCACAGGTGCTTGGGGAAGCCTGCCGTGGGCCACACCCCGAGAGACTTTGGTTAATCTCCCCAAGAACTTTGGACCACAAGCCCCTGTGTCCCGCCTGCCCAAACCTAGCCCCGGGCTAGATACCACGTCCCATATGCTAATGCTGGTACATCCGATAGAAGGACCCCAAGTTTCCCCAGCAGGAGCAGCTCGCCCCACTCCCCTGGTTGTAAGAGGCCTTCATTCAAACCCTCATCAGAACTGAGCCCTTTTAGCACCTAATCTCTTACCAGAGTAGCCCATTTGTAGGGGTGAGCGAGTCAAGCGGAGACCAGGCATAGCCACCCAGTCCCTCTTTATGCCCAGACCTGAGGGTCGGTGTTTTTCTTGGGTGACTTCTGCAGCCTGGGGTGGGTGGGGTCTTGGTGCAGAGACAATGGGTGGTCTCCCAGGTTCCCTTCCTCCCACCCATCCGCAGCGCAGTCCCTGCAGCTACAGGGAAGGTGTGAGGAGCTGGACAGGTGTGACTTGGCCCCTCAGCAGTGACCTGTCCGCTGCCTGGCACGTCAAGGTATGCGGGCATGGTTATTAGGAGATCTATTCTCGATTGTAGAAGAGGCACCTGTTCCGAGATGGATCACACCCTGTAGCTGGACGACCGTAGGAACTCAGAGGATGGTCCTGTCCCTGTCCAGTTCACAGGAAAAACGTTACCTGGTTTCTGGAAAACCTGCTTTCTGTGTGTGTGTGTGTGTGTGTGTGTGTGTGTGTGCGCTTAGCAAACCCCCCGTATTTCTCCACCTTCCTCGGTCGGGGGCCTCTGGTTACACAACACACTGGTCACACTGGTCAGAGGAAGATCCCTGGAGCACTGTCACCTGACACTGCCCTGTGGCCATACATGTGTCAAGAACCGGCCACTTCCCTGACACATAACATTCCCAGGCGGGGTTGCTGACATTTACTAACAGTGCTCAGCTGGTGCGACAGCGAAGAGAAAGAGTTAGTAATTCCAGTGACTAATGGAAATGACTAAAAGGCTGGCAGCAGGGTTACTGCCCGTGAAAGTAAACCTGAGGCACAGCCGGGAAGCAGAGCATCTCTGGTCGTTTCATCCCGGGGCCGGATTCCTGGGCTTCTGTCTTCTGGAGTCTTTCTTCTCTCTTTCTCTCTCCGATTGTCCCTCGCTGCTGCGAAGTTCTCTGCTTATTGGCATTTTATTATTATTTTCATCAAGTAGGGGAATGTTCGGTGTGTTTGCTAGTATTTGTTTGCCTGGTTTTATGAGTCCATTCAAATATACCCGGATGTGATATTTTCTCAGACGATGGTCTACGTACATTTTCTTTATGGATTCACACTCGGGTTCACTGCTTGTTAACATTAGTATGCCTGTTGGTATAATTCACTAGTTGCATGTGATATTTTTCTTTTGTTACTGTAGAAACAATGACCAAAATTATAATTAAAGCAGTGAATTGAATGGGGCATGAAATATATAACATAATAACCTTATACTTGGCTGTAACTAATTACAATTCAACATAATAGACTCTTAAAATTGCCCAATATTATTATTACTTATTGGGGCCGAAAGGAAGCATTCTGGCTGTCTGCCTGAGCAGTTCAGTATGAATGATAAAATGATGCCAAGTTCTATAGGAATATACGTGTATGCGCGTGCACACACATGCACACACATGCACACACACATTTTCCTCCCTGCATGAGGCAAATGCTCAACCTTATCAATTAAAACTTGTTAGTGAAACTGCTCATTTGGGCAGTGAAGTCACGTAATGCCCTGAGGTTTAATAAGCAGTTTCTGGAAAGCTGGATGGCTCTTGTATGGAACCATCACTACAAGGTTGTTATTATTTGATTAGCTCGCTGCAGAGGAGCCTTCTCCTGAGATTTTGCCGTTGAGGTTTCTCCCCTTAGCTGCAGGAGGAACCCAGCAGTGCCCCCTGGAGGCCGGCTGGGGGATGCTGCCCTGGTGCCCTCCGGGGAAGCATCTCCAGGGGTTCTGACCTAAAGGAGAGCGGCAATTGGGGCGCCATTCTTGGTCTTCGCCAAACGTGTTATTTTGGAACCTGCTTTCTTTTTCGTTCAAATATTTCCTTTTCCTCCATTAATTTTGAAGGCCTCTTGCCGGCCATAGCTACACTGTAATATCCTTCCAGGTAACCATGGCTCCTGACCCAAAGCACTGTGAAAAGTCTCAGGCGGCTTAAG